TTGGTTACGATTAAGGTTTTTGGTAATCGCTAATGTGTTGGACCGGATTGGGACTCAAAGGTTTGTGTCATCTGCTTGAAGACGCTTTGCACGCTCGGGTGTGAGAGTCGATGAAGAAGGTTCTCCTGGTTCAGTGATCGTATGAATCGACGGTCTTTCGATCTTCGAGGCAAATGCGTTCCTATCTTTTTTAGGCTTATTGGAAGACGGTGAGAGGGGTTGAGAAGGCTCGGTGGTTCTAGGCTTGGTTGAATGCCTTCTGGAAATGTCTTCTTGGGGCGTCACTTGTTTAGTTTTACTTGGTCCATCATTAGTCGCCATGCGTGGCGAAGCCGGTGTACCCTTGGGCAATCTCCTGTGGCTTTCAGCAATATTATGACTTTTGCTAGAGAGGCTCTGATTAGATGCTGAACTGATTCGACGGCGTGACATCTCTCCACCCATGTTGCTACCTAGTGAATGCGCACTTCCGCTACCTTTCGAGCCTTCGGTCGAGCCAAAGCTGATCGACTTGCGGGGGCTTTTCCGGTTTTGAAAGGAGCTGGCCAAGCGGGGTGAATATGGAGCTTCTGATGAGTTTCGGCCGCTGCTTTCACCAGTTATCGCGTCCACAATCTCATCGATTCCACTGCTCGATGTGCCTATCGAGCCATGGTTGCTTCCTTGACTCCCCCGACTGGACTGCATTTTACCACTGTGTTTGCTTCGAAACGAGTCCGAACCATGCGACCTGACATTGCTAGAATCGTCAGAGTTCCTAGCAGTCGAGCCCCGCGAGTTGTTATTCTTGGGCACCACGAAAGGTAAGGTGATTGTAAACTTTGAACCTTGGTTCACGGTTGAATCGACCCTCAACTGCCCACCCATGTTGTGCACAACTCGGCCAACAACGGCAAGCCCGAGGCCAATTGACTCACACATACGATCATCCTGCGATTCTCCTGAACCGACTTGTTCAAAAGCACGGAAGATGTTTTCAAGCTGAGCTTCAGGAATTCCTTTGCCGGTATCAGTCACAGCAACAGAAATTCTGTTTCCACAAGCAAAGAACATTTGTTAGCCTCAAAATATTAGTTAATCACCAAGTATATACCCTCCATGAATGCATTAAAACGTACCTAACAATGTCTTCCGACATTAAATTCTGATCCTGAGGATCGGGCTGCACAGTTTCTTGGGGCTCAAAGCCCCATTGAACATGAATAAGGCCTTCGGTGGTATGCTTTACAGCGTTTCCGACCAAGTTCGAGACAACCTGACGGAGCCGTGCTCGGTCTCCTTGGAGGATTACAGGCGCCCCACGAGGATCCTCGACCATTTCAAATGCCAGTCCTTTCCGCTCGGCTTCACGGTGGTGAATTGAAACGGCCTCTTGAAGAGTTGATGGCAAATTGAATGGATCTCTTGAGAACAAATCACCACCTTGTTCAGCCTTTGTCAAGTCCTACCACATCCAAAATGAAGGGAGGAAAGTATAGCATCAGGGCTCAAAATTGTCCAACCTTGTCCAAGTAGATGATATTCATCAAAGTAACTAAAAGAAAACTAAGGACTGGTTTAAGATAAGAAATAAGTTGACTCAGTTTGACTAACCAAGAGATCATTGATCACATGTACCAAGGCTCTTGACGCTGAATAAGATTTCGACAAATTGTCTCGTGTATCTTCATCGAGTTGGCCGTCAAGTGCGAGTTCTAAAGTAGACAAGATCTGATGTAGTGGCGTCCTAACTGAAGATCATATTACCCATCAGAAGAAAACAAAAGAATGAGTATGGTAACAAAGTGGATTATTGTGTAAGTGGGACGACAACTTACCCTCGTGACTGGCGTTTGAAAGGAGTAGAGCTTGAAGTTGATTGTTTTGTACAGCTGCTTCTTTCTGTCTCCAAACGTCAATGAATTTTCCATAAACTAGACTCAAGACCGAGCCGGTTTCTAACTGTTCGTCAGTCCATGCCTTTGATCGTTCTTTAACAGTCTACATAAGTGTGGTTAGGCGTATATTCAAAGTGATTTACTTTCCCGGATCAGATGCCTGTACAACATTCTGTTAAAAAGATTGCTTCATGATACTAAAAAATGCTCACCTCAGACCAAATTTTGAAAGATTTTCTAGGTTCCAATATGTTAGAATTCTTATCGTCCTTGAAAAGTTTTTCGTGTGGGTTTCCAGCCCAATGGATCTCTTTGGACTGAGCTGGTCTAAAAAAACAAATAAAGTCCTGACCGCTCCTTGACAAAGGAATCACCAACAGGCCTGAAATTGATTCAAATCCACCTGGATATTCTATATCTGGGAAAGTTTGATTAATGTCCGTGGAAACTTGGATAGTGCTACATGTGAAGTGAAAAAAAAAAAAATCAACAAGAAAAGCTGGACCAGATAGACTAAGTGCGAAGGTCTCTTACTCAAATTTTCTCACTCTGAGATACTCTAGGATGGCAAGAATTTCTTGAGAATTCGAGACGACACCCAAGATTTTAGCCTCCTCACCGATCGAAAGTACTCCAGCTTGAGCATCGAACAACCACAGTAAGTCTTCGGCTTTGGCGACGATATAACCTGATGGATTCTTTGATGTCGAGGTTGTGTTGATTAATTTACGCGACTGTAGACGTTGTGATAAATTCAAGCGAAGGATATTCCTTGAGACCGTATCGCCCAACATCGTACAAAAGTGGCGAGTTGGGAAGGTGACTCTCTGCCCAAATCTGCCGTAGCTATGGCAGGATATCAATCCCCACAATTCATCATTCATTATGATCGAGATCGAAAATGATGATCTCTGAAGGTGTATATACGTCGATGTGAAGCCGAGAAGTCAGTGGATAGAGTCGGCTCAAGAGCAGGGGAAATGACGACTTACGACTCCCATGTTAGCCAGATACTTGATGTGAATGGGACTCATTGCTCTCAAGTGACAATGAGTCATATTTAACGGTTTCGAAAGTTCCTCTTGAGACTTACACATCAACCTAGCAGTCGGTTGATCACGATCGTACAGCATCCTGACTTTGTTTATCTTGTATAACTCTCTAGCTTGCGCAGGTATGTTTTTTTTTTTGGGGGGGGGGGAAGATGTAGGTAGACATCATTTAGCTCTGACGCTCGTCCGACCATCGGTGAAGGAGATAGAGAATCGGAGACCAAGAATGATCTGACTGAAAACACTAACCTGATGCTGGAAATCGGAGGCCTCGATAGAGATCGCGAGTGCGCTTCCAATCAACCAGTTCGGCGACGACTTGTCCATTCCAAGATTCATCAAACTGTAATGACCGGACAACAACTCAACTGATATGTAAATTGAAAGAGAAGGAAGGATGGCCAAACGTACCTTGTAGATCATCACACGATCGAAGCCCGTGAGCTCCCTAACCAAACCGACAGCCATCTTGAGGAAAGTCGGCATATCTTCGGCCTTATCGAATTGGCTATTCAATTGACTCAAAATCGAAAGTACTTCGACGCTATCGCCGCTAAAGTCTTTACCCTTTCTTCTGAGTCTGGCCAGTGCCCTGAGGGGTTTATCACCACTGACATGGTGGATTCGATCAGGTCTTGTTCTGTCGGCTCGTA